TTCTCTGTTTCTCTTCATGTGCCACTTCAGATGTTAAAAATGTAAGTGTCTATTATGTAAGTATGTTGTATTCACTATGTATTTACTATGTAGATTGAAGGGGGCATACATACTATACAGACATACAATTGTTTTCTTTTTCTGCTCTAGGAGAGTGTACCCCTTGTTCAGATGGGTGGGGTGGGTGGATAGGTTGTTTGCTGTAAATGGAGGGTACAGGAAGGAAATACTAATCTACGTACATGCTCACATGCCCAGATTTAGTTGAGCATGTGAGCATTAGAATGACAAACTTACAGAGAATTATCCCCAACTCTTCCCCTTCTTCTAAATCATTTGGCAGAAAAAAATTGTAACTTTTGTCATTCAGGTGATGCAACCTTGTCAGTCAATCTCTTATGGCTAAAATTAGCTGTTTATTTCTTGGCCGACTGTGTGCCAACTCAGACTGTGTCCTGTCAGTTTGGATCGTGGATCAACTTTCTGTGTCAGATGAGCAGCCTCTCTGCTCTCCATTTCCTGAATAAAAGATGACTTGCAGTGAAAAAGTGCTTCTGCTGCAGCTTGCATTGGCATCCTCACAGGTGCACATACTTCCTAGTGCACAGTGGTAAGCACTTTACCAGAATAAATCCCTTTCTTAGTAAAACAAACTAAACAATGCATTTGACACCACAGTCTGGCTCCCTTGTGGATGTGTGTCTGGGACTTGATTTATAGCACAGGTTGTTGCCACCTGCAGACTACACTTAAACAAAGAGTCCACTGTAAGAATTCGAACAACAGTAGGAGTGCAACCAAGTATGAACCAATCGTGACGTCACCCATTGGTTTGAGGAGTACGGTTATAAAAGCCTAGAGTTAGGCGTTAAGGCCGTTGTTGTGTTGCTATTTTTCTTTGTTTTTAACTCGTATGCAGCAGGAAACAATGGTGGCTTCCCTGGTAGCACATGTTCTCGCATTACATATAAACAGTACACTAAAATATATATCTGAAAAGACTGAGGCGAGAAATAGGATAGCCATGCCCAAAAGTAAACCCTGCTTTATCATCTATTTTACTCTAAACGGGACCATCATTTACTACAAGAACATCATACTGTATGGAAGAAGACTGAAACTAAAGATTGAGACCATAAACTCATTCATCATAAACTGTTTTCTAAGCTCTAAAATCAAGTCATTTTGCCATTACATTACATGCAACCGGGCTTCTTTTTGCAACCGACCCTGCTGGCCATCAGAAATATTGCAGGTTTAAGATACATTGGCCTCAGACCCTGAAGCTCAAATATAACTAAGTTAATTATGAATGACATATGAAATACATATTAAAGCCTGTATCATAGATTTATATTCAGCACTCAGAAAGATCACCTACCTTGGATCCAAACAAAACCGTAGAGGAAGTAGAATTTCCCCCCGGTGTTGGGCCCAGGACGCCAGTAGGCCCGTCTGATTTCATTGGTCTTCTCTGTAAAGCTGGAGTTTTGTCTAATTTTGTACAGAACGTGGGGTGGCAGGGAGCCATCTTTGTTAGTCTGGAAAATCACACCTGAAAAAGAAAAAGATCATATATGAGGTCAGTAGTGTTCTGGTGGTTCAAGCAGCATAGCAGCATCCTACTGTAGGTCCAAGACGAAAAGTTTAATGAAACCAAAAAACTAAATAAAAAAGATGAAATATGTCTGCTTATTAAGCTTCACAGGGTTTGCCAGAACCAGCACTGTCTCTACAAGCATGTTTATGACTGAGCAGCTCGTGGTCATGGGACTGAGGTAACATGATCACAACTTGACACAGAGGGACGACTCACTGGCAAACACAGACACGTTGTCCTGGTAGGCCTGGTTCAGGGTGTAGTTGACGATGCTGTCCTCGTCAGGAAAGCCCTTGAAGACATCCACACTGACCTGGAAGCATGGGGCAGAGACACAAATAATGTTCCACAGCAGAAAGGCATTCATGGAAGAAACTATGATTTCCTGTCCTTGTCGTCATGGTGACAAGCACAAACTCCAGGAAGTCACTGCACCCAACCTCTATCTAAACATCTCATTAATGAAGACTAAGAATTTATTATTATTCAAAAATTAAGTTCATATAGCAGTTGAGATAATTTCTTGTGGCATTGTCTAGAAAGTGCTTGGCTAGTTTCTAATGCCCAGAGTCATCACTTTAATACTCTTTTATGGGCTGAATTGGTCTTGGGCATTCCACTGATTACTTTTAATTATTTTGATTTCTCTGCTTTCTTACTAGTTTCATGAGCTCTCAGCAGCAGCAGGTGGTGTTCAAGTGTTAAAGCTGACTCTGGCATGTGAGGACATTTCCTATGCAGGACATTTTCTGAAATGGAATATAATATTTATAGGTTTTTATTTAGTGGATCATATCACGTGGATATAGGAATCATGATGTTTTTGTCACCTTAGAATGAGCCGTTTCTATCTACTATGCCATGTTGAGTTGTTTTCTATAGTAGCCCAGAATGGACAAACCAAACACTGGCTGTAGATAGGGCTGTTCGCATTTTCGTGAGTTTTATGGCCACCGTAGTTTCTCCTACACTCTTTACAGCAATACTCATTCCCAGGTTGTTAAATACAGACACGAGTGGTGTTCAGTTAGTTGCAATCTGCAACTTCACTGCTAGATGCTGCTAAATCCTACACACTGGACCTTTAAATCATGGGTAATATTACACAGACTGCTGATTCTCAAACTATAGAACATGTACCACTAGTGGTATGCAAGCCTTATATTTGAGGTGGTACACAATGTGAAAAGTTTGAGAAACATTGGCACAGACATGATGAAAAGTGGCACTAAAAAATCCTGTTACTGCATGATGTCCATAGTCAGGCTTAACAATCAGTGTGTGGGGTGGGTGGGTGATCAGTAGATTTACAGCTCTTGGGAAGAAACAGTCTTTCAGTCTGCTGGTCTGTGACTGCAAGGTCTACTATCTCCCACCAGATGGTAGGGGGTCAAACAGGTGGTAGCTGGGGTGTGTTGGTATTGGTAAAGAGCTGCCTCACACAATTTCTAATTGGTTCTACACTATACTGACCTTAGACATGAAGCGCGTCCAGCCGCAGGCAGCGTTGTCGATGGTGTCCAGTTGCTCCAGCAGGGTAGATGTGTTGGGAAGACTGTAGTTTCCCTCCATCAGACCCTGCATCAGCTCACTGTCTGTGCCATTCAACAACTCCGGGTGCTGCTGAAGCTCTGAGGACAGCTGGAGAGAGACGAGAAAAAGGATGAATGGAGCCCAACGTGTGCACCATTACAAGATGATTTCTTCACATCCTATAGGTATCATTAACAATGTCAAAAGATGACTCGAGTGTGTGAGTCTACCTGCTGTAACCACACTAGGTGGTTGTGCAGCCGGCCCTCCTCCAGGAAAGTCCTGAGCTGGGCGGAGATATTGAGCCACACACGGGTGTAGTGTGTCACGTTCCCGACGAACGCAAAGGTCTCATTTGCCTGAGTGCAAAAAGTGAACAAAGTTAACAACTGAATATAGCCATTTGTCCACACGGTTTTCACTTCTTTCTTTGTCCCTCCATCTCTCACCCTCCCACACTCACTGCTCTCTCCACAATCTTCAGCCCACTCACTCAGATAAGAGATCTAAATAGCTACTGCCAACAGTCAGTCTGTGCTAACCCACAGATAATCAGTGGACGTTTGTGCTAATGTTGAGGCATAAAGAGGCCAGCTGCATTACATGCTACAGAGCCTGGTTAACCAGGTGGCTTCATGTGAATCCAACATGTTGGACAGTGCATGGTTAATGTTTTTTTGCATAGAATACAAATGATGAAAACATTACCACAGTTTGCTCCATGGTCTCACATAATTCAAGCTGGTAGTCCCTGAATGCGCCATCCGTCAGTGTAAATGAAACCACACACACAGCGTTATCAAGAGTAAACTAATACTATCAGAGAATAATAAAATAACAGAACAAACCTTAAAAGGACACAGCTGATGTTATTTTATGTTTTTCTTGCTGAAATCCCCTAAAAAACCCCAAAACCAACAACTTCCCTGACTGACTTCCCTACCCTGTCCCTACCTGTCTGACGCCATTGGTTAAACTGATGACTGAATAATACGTTTTCATCATTTTTAAAAAAGGGCTGAGCTCAGTTTCCTAAAATAACTGGTCACTAGTTCTTAGCAGATGTTACTGAAACAGGAGGAAGCATTTGTCGCAAGGAGCATTTGTTGGGGACTATTTTCAGCAGCGGATGAATACACATTTGGTGCTCTAGTGAGTATTTCTGGCACCAATTATATTTCTGGTGTATGTGGGATTGAGACAGAATAAACTACAGTGTGTGTGTTCATGGTAATGAAGGAACATGTCAGCCAGTGCAACAGTGTAGCTCACTGATGTGTTTTTAATAGTTTTTGGACAAATATGGAGCTCTATGGAACTTAGGAAGATAGACACACAATACTCAATACAGGGATTAATTCATTGTGGGTCTGCACATATTATTTGTTGATCACAGCAAGATTCATTCATTAGTCTTTATAAAATGTTTGCTTTTAGTAGCTTGGTGACAAAGGGACTATAGTTGCAGGGCTAGTTGCTGAACTACTGTAGGTGGCGAGCTAACTGATAACATCAGTACACAGCTTTGTGCTGGGATGTTCATTTCCTGCTGGCCTTTTGTTCTCAGTTAGCATAGCTTGATGGCTAACATGTTGTTTCTGCGATTGTGCTCTTTTAAATGCTGGTGTGACCAGGCCTTCATCCTTTTAAGCTGCATTAAAGCTGCTTTATTCCCTTCATTGTTGACTTTGGAAAAATAATCATCTTAAAATAAGGTCCAGTTACTACTTTTTACTGTCAACCTCATAATGAAGATGAATTTGCATAATTAATTGTTGTGGAAGAATTCAACAATGAATGGGACTTGAGATAGTGTAATTGTTTTTATAAAATTATTTTTGTATGAAATGACGATGCGTAATGTGGAAACAGTTTGCTCATAGTGATGAACAACAGTTTTTACAGGTGTTTCCTCTCTGTAATTCAGTCTTTTAGCCCTTTTGGCTCAGGGTTTTTCAGTTCTGATAACTGCAGATTACAATACCTGCCCAGCACCAAATGGCAGAGAAAGGTAACAGTGAGCATAGTTAAAAAGCATGACTCCAAATGAATGCTGTGAATAGGCAACTGTTTGTTAAACCTTTCAACATAACAACTTTATGAGTTGATAACATTTCAGTGTTTAAAGCTTGTTTTCCTGCCCCCAGGTGGGCAATTCTTCAGCATGGAGCACAATGAAAGAGCTTTGTCAGTAAGAATACACCTACACCAAAGACAGCGCTGTCTACTTGCCTTCTGAATCACTTTATCCACCTGGGAGCCAATGGGGGAGTAAAGGATCTTGGGATTTGTAGTCATTAAGTGAACCAGTAGGCCCAGATTCCTCTGTTCTTTGCTGGTGAATCCCAGAGAACTCATATTGCCTTGCTTCAAAGCCTCCGGCTCGATGATCCTGCAACAAGAGTCACGGGTTAGAGTTCACTAACTTTACTCCCATGTCACTGTACTTTGGGGGTTAGATCTTTTAAAAAAAAATTTAACAAAAGACTTCTCACCACAAATCAGGCCACAAGCGTACTGTGCTCATATCTCACTGCTCACAATATCGTTTCTACAGCTGAGAAGCAGCTGCACTTGATATCCAATGCAAATATGATACATACACAAAAGAAAGTGAGAACTACACACTGCAAACAGGAATTGTTTCTGGGTCTTATTTTTTTGTCTAAAAAGAAAAATAATCAAACATATTTTGTATTAGAAAGGTAATCTGGTTTTAAGAAAATATATTTTAACTTTGTCTTAATAAGATATTACAGCTAATATTGAGCTATTATTATTTTAAGACTAAGACCAATTACACAACTTCTCAGTTTAGGAAATGAATGTTGAAGCAGCTGTTTAGTTTTTCATTCTACAACTCGCAGTACGTCATCTCTGCTGGCTCCACTAAACTGTTAAGGTGACGACCACAATGCTAAACTCGAGGCTTCAAAATGGTACACAAACCAATGGGTGACATCACGATAAGTTTACACTTGCAACAAGTGCAGCTGGATCGCCAGCTCCGCCTCAACTTGTCAAAAAGAAAATCAGTTAAACTGTTTTTACATATGAACAAGATGTGTTCTCGAAGACTGCTTTTGTATTGATATCAATACAACTTCAAACTGACCACAAACCACAAAACTATAACTGTGAAAAAAACATTTTATAACTGAATTATGAGCAGGACGCTCAGACTGTGTGGAACTCACATAACAGATGACAAGGACAAGCATTAAAACGTGAGGTAAAAGATGAGACCCATGTAGGATGATACTGATTGGCAGAAAAGAGTACTGTATGTTGAGTATGTTGGATTTTCACTAGTATTGATATTCACTACTACTTTTCTGGCATCGGGACATTCCTACGCACAACGATGGAAATACAACCAAAGTTGTAACAAACAGGAACCATCCTTTATATTGTGCCTTAGTTCATTTTCTCCACAGCAACATGAGAAAAACGTTCTTCACACGGACATAGCTATCATTTCGCCTCTCTCTTGTCTCACCCACCTGTTGTTCCCACACAGAATGGGCTGCAGTCCGGCCCACAGTTGCACAAAAGCTGAAAACTGAGAATGAGGGTTCTCTGCTTCCTTCTTCTCTTTCCCTCCTCCTGCTCCTCCGACCCCCTCTGCTCCCTCCTCCACCTCCTCTCCGGGGATGTCGGTCGTGTTAGGGCCCCAGGTGGTGGCGTTAAGGGGCCAGGTCACGTTTGTGGGGGAGGCCGGAGTTCGACCAATACAGGCTCCTTTGGGCAGCAGGCGGGCCAGGCCAGAAAGCAGGTCCACGTCCTTGAGAAGCCTCTCTACATCGGCCAGGTCCTTCAGCAAGGCCCCGAGGTGGGACTGAGAGAGAGGGACTAGGGAGTTGGGCTCCAGGTGAAGCTGGTGGGAAGAGAGGATGGAGGGAGAGAGCCAGTGAGCAAATATTAAGAAGTTAAATGTTACATCTCGTTTATCTAGGAGCCAAAGGTCTTTAGTTGCACTGTTGAGAACTGGTATTGTTCCTCTGGCCGTTAAGCTTGGTTGATTCAAAACTATTCAGCAGGAAAACAGATTGTGTGAGCTGTGTGATTCGGGTGAAGTGGAAAGTGAGTCTTTTCTGTAATTATTTAAGAGAGTTAATGTTCCATTAAATGGCTTGACTAAACTCTGAAATATTCCAGCGTTCAGATGAGCAAAAATTTAAATTGTTGTTTAATTCCTAATGTGTTTAAGGGCCCAGTATGTAACATTTAGGAAGATCTATTGTCAGAAATGGAATATATTTTTCATAGGTATGTTTTCATTAGTGTATAATCACCTGAAAATAAGAATATTTATCATAGCGTGCTAGAAAACTATACACGTGCAAAAATATACACAATAGGCCTATATCTCAGCATTTCGTTCATTTCTGTAAGAAGACCCTAATGAAATTTAGATAATTTAAATAGCATGTATGTTTGTTAAAAATGTATAATTTATTATAATGATAATATTCATAATTGTATAAAAACTTCCAAAAAATATCAGTAAAACTCATCTCTGCTCAAATTCATCCAAATCTCTGGTTTTTACACAAACTTCCTGCAGTTATTGTGTTCACTGTTTGGGTTCATTGTACAGTTTTATCAGTTGTTCTCTACTGTTATTG